CGTGTGAGTGTGTGCATGTCTGTGTGTGAGCGTGCAGGCCTGATTCACGATGCTGTGTGAGTGCGCACGTGAGGGTGCGCGTGCAGTGTGGCCAGGAGCCCGTCCACTCACCTCCCCTTTCTCCACCAAAGGCTTCACCTCAGCGAGGTCCACGTCCTGCAGCTCCCGAGACATGTCCCGCTGTCACCTGCCAGGGACAAAGGGCAGAGGGTGAGCACTTCCTGCTGCAGACCTTTCCCAAAGGGGCAGCCCCACCGAGCCCCGCCCAGTCTCTTTCAGCACTGCAGGCCGGGAGGCCCCTCCCGACCCAGCCCTGGCCCCGGGGCTCGGGGGCGCTTTCCTGAGGCAAGAAGGGGGTTCGTGGACACGGCGGCCTCTCAGTGGCCTCTCAGTGGTACGTGGCCGCACACTCCAAACCAGGTCCTCCTAGCAAACCACACCCGCCCACATGCCCCAGGCTTCTCCTGTGGTTTAGAGGCCCACATGACTTCTCCAAGCCCCAGGCGACAACTGGGGGGAAAGAGGGTCACAGGAGGTGCAAGCATGAAGCCAGCTTCACCCGCAAAGGACTCCCGATGCAGGGGTGTCCTTTGACACAGAACCACCCACGTCCACCCCTCTGCTCTGTGCTGGGGAAGAGGGGCAGGGAGCCAGGCCCCCCCGAGACCAGGGCTCTGACAAGTGCAACACACAGATCTTTGAAGGCAAAAGCGATTCATGAGTCCTAAGGGGGAGCAGGGGGGTGAGGGGCTCAGAGGAGGCCCTTGCGGGCTGGGGTGGGGACCCCAGTGGACACTGACGGACTGGAAATGAGGTCCAGAGCTGGACTGGGCAGGGCTGGGCTGGAGGGAGAGGCTCCACTCTCCGGGGCCAGGCTGGGGCAGGGAGTGTGCTGGGCATCTTTCTGGGAGCTTCACCTGGGCGCCGCGGGTGTGAGCACTGATTCTTATGTATCGAAAGGACCTGGAAGGAAGAAGTGCCCCAGGACTGGGGTGAGGCACAAGAACCCAGTGCTGCAGGACGGGGGAGGAAGTGGCCAGGGAGATGCCAAGGTGCCCCTGTTCCCAGTCATCAGACCAGTGTGGGAGAGGGAAAGTGGGAGAAGGCCAAGGCTGTCCGTCCACAGTCCTGGGCACTGGGTCGCCGGGCCCACAGACAGGGAGGGTGGGGGCAGAGGGGGGGACCAGAGCCTCTGAGTTGCCAGCCAGGAGTGCATGTTCCTCTGAAGACCCAGCTCCGGGAGCCCACAAGAATCCTCTTTGTGAAACACCTCTGAGGTCAGCCGGCCACAAAGCCGGGGTCGCCCTACAAACACCCCCCCATGCCAACACATGGCATTCTGTGGGTGGCTCCCCGGGATGGTCTGGGGCCCCAGCCCGATGTTCCCCAGTAGATAACCAGCCCCACAAGAATGCCTTTATGCAGTCCTTGGAGTCTCTGCTCCAGAACATTCCCCAAACAAAGTTCGTTTTATATCTGTGAGCATTCCTGGCAGCTGCCAGCTCGGAGGCAGGAGACAGGACAAGCTGAGGTCTGTGGGTCTTGCTAATTCAGCGTGTTCATGGTCCCGGGATCCTGCCCCATGGGACTTGTCGCCTACACAGCCTAGGGAAACTTCCAGAAACCCAGGGTCCTGGCAATGCCTCCCTTCATGCTGAGAATGACAAGTCTTCACATTTCACTGGCGCTCTCCAGGGTGGGGGGTGGGGGCACTCGGGGACAGGTGCCTGCCCGTCCCCCAGCCCGACCTCTAGAAGAGATGGGCAGGTTTGGTGCAGCTTGAGCCTGTGCTAAAATCCTCTCAAATGCTGACCGTGACAAGCTCAGGCTGACAAGGACTGGACACAAGGCGCTGTTCCCCCCGGGCGGCCCAGCTCTCCTGGGCTTCCAGAAGCACGCGCACACCAGAAGGCCAGCTTCTGCGGCAACTTGGGCTCTCGTCAGGACACAGCCCACTTTCTGGCCTCTCCAATGAGCTCCTGGGCAACCTCTTTACTTCACACCCTCTTGTCCTTCCTAGTGGGCCTGGCAGCGTCCCACCCGCTAAGGCGTCTTTGCGGCCCACCACTTGCCGTGGGGCACACCCCACGATCCGGGGCAGAGGGTGCCTCTATAGGACTGTGATGTCCAGTGTGAGTCGCACTCACAAGCTCGGCCACGCCCACACCGACACGCCCTCACGTTCTCACACGCACAGAGGCACTCTCAAAACTCACTCTCGTGACCTTCATGCACACACTCACTCATCCCAGCACAGGCAGACTGGCAGCCTGGCTCATGCACACTCACACGCTTAGCCACACACCACTGCACACACACTCACACACCGTCAAAGACACGCACCACCATGGACGCCAGTTTTCTCAGGGCCTTGGAGAGGCCCAGGGGTCAGAGCGACTATCCCGAGACAGCTGCAGACGGCGGGGCCAGTGGAGGGCCCCAAGGTGCCCACACGCATTCTCAGACTCACACCCCAAGACCCCAGCTCATGACCCTGGGCATGCCCTGGGAGTGTGGGTGGGAGACGACCTGGCTTGGGGAGCTCCAGCTGGTGCCTCCACCCCAGCGACACCAACAAGTTGGAGCCCCACATTGGGAGATGTGTCCAGAAGCACCCAGAGGCCCTACCCTGCCCCGTTCTCTCCCTGCCGGCCTCCAGCGCCTCCTAGAAAGTCGGGCTGCTTAGCTGGACCATGACCCGGCCAGGCCACTCGGGCATGGCGTCTCGGCCCTCCTGCCCCACCTGGCCAGGTGTGACATTCTTGCCTGCCAGAGGCTCTGGCGGAATCTAGGGCAGGTGCCCTCTCACCAACCCGGCACCGAGCCCCAGGTGCAGCGCAGGCCTCAGGGCCGCTGCCAGACTGGTTTGGACAGTCACTTCTCCTTGCCCCGCCCGCCCGCCTCCAATGGAACCCAGAGGAAACCAACATTAGAGAAGCAACAGTTGCCCAGAACCAGGCGGGCTGGAGGGCCAGAGCCGGCACCTGTGATGCCCCAGCAAGTATCTGAGCTCTCGGCCTCAGTTTGCTCCTCTGTAAAATGGGCGCGACAGCTATGCCGTCAGGAAGCCAGGGGGCTCGGAACAAACACCGCGCAGAGACTGGCAAATCCGGCTCGTTATCTGTGCCTTTAACTTGGCCGGCCCCTCTGCTGGCGACTCAGGGGTCCAGGGGCCTCCGCGAGGTCACAGAGGACATGCCACAGGGACCCAACAACACCAGGTTTCCAGCCTTCAGACCGGTGGGGCGCTCGCCTTCAGCCATGCTGGTCAATGAGTGACGGAGGCCCGGGAGACAAACGCCTTTCTGGCTCAGGCGACAGGCCCAGGCGACACAGCCGGCAATCTGCCAGGCTTCCGGGGTTCCCGACGAGGCCAAGACTGGGACTGCCCAGAGAAGGGAAGGCTGTGAGCAAGGTCTCCTGACCCCAGGGGGGAGGGATGCGGCCTGTGATTCTCCAAAGCCTGGGTGGACAGCAGGAGCCCCGGGAAGGACTGGGACCACGGGCAGGGCCCCCAAGTAGACCTGGGCTTTCGGCAAAGTTCGCATCCGACAGTTTTCTAATCTCCCTCCACCAGAATCTGGGGCTTCCATTTTGACTTCTGCTCCTCAGGGGCTTCCATTTTGACTTCTGCTCCTCAGAGCCTTCCAGATGAGGCAAGTCCAAAGCAATGACCACTGCCTGGATCTGTCTGCTCCTCGGAGAAGGTGGAGGGGCGTGGGGGGGTGTGGGGTGGCTACCCCGGAAGCTGGCAGATGGGTAACCACAGACTCCACAGCAAAGACCCCTTCTAAAGCCTGGACATCTCTCGCCCAAGGGAAGATGCAACCCGCACAGCTTGGACTGGGGTGCAGGGTGGCGGAGGGGAGGGCAGACTCCAGTCTTGGTGTCCTTCAGGGAATCCGAGGGAGCGGGACCAGGAGGGGATCCTGGCAGCTGTGCATGGTGACTGTCGGAATCGTGACTGCCCCCAGTGTCCCCCACACTCCTGACTGCAGAGCGGGGGAAACATGTCCTCTGCAGCACCCTAACTCTTCACACAACAGAGCCTGGGGGGAGCGGGGGGGTCAGTGGGTGCCTCTGCAGTTGGGCACAGCACTTCCCTGAACACAGACACCCAGAGGCTCCAGGGAACAGACACGTCAGCGGTGACCTCCAGGAAAGGAGCCTCACGCTGGCACCTCTGTGGTCCTCTCTGTGCCAGAGAGAGGCTGGCACCAAGCTTAGACGGCCCTCTCCAGGGTCTCTTGATGCCTCTGCCCCGCTGAATAGGTGGTTCTGGGGCGGGTGAGGAAGCTAACGCCTGCATTTTCTGTGTTGTTCTTATTTAACTGACTTAGTAAAAACACCACGGTGGACTCACGGGCTCATCAACTAAGTTCCCCAGTTGAAGGAAAGAATCTGTCCCAGGCAAAGCCAGAAACGATACAGGGTCACTGGGAAGAGACAGCCAGAAAATGAATCCCCGCTGAGCGGAGGGAGTCTGGGCCTCAGTGGGCCTTACACCACCCTCGGATCTTCAGAGGACAAAGGAGCCACTAGGAAAAGACAAACCCAGCGGCTCGGTCCCTGGGTACTGATGGGCCGGCGAATCTCACTGCTCGGCCTGGGCCAGAACCAGGAGCGGCCAGGGCCAGGAGCGGCCAGGGCCAGGAGCGGCCAGAGCGGCCAGAGCACACAGGCTCCAGGGCACAATAGCAGGAAGAGGGAGGTGGCGGAGAACGGCACGGCACCCCCTGCACCACCGGCCTGGGCCTTCCTGCAGATGCTCAGCGGGGCCCAGGCAGCCTGAGCAACTCGGTGAGGAAGAAGGCGGCCAACCCGTGAGTCCGGACGATGCTGGGAGGCTGGGACTTTGCCTGAATGGCAGGGCGAGCATCAGCCGACTGGACGGCCGGTGAGGTCATTTGCGGCAGCCACACACATGGGCCTGGGTTGGCTCAGCTGGCGGAAACGGATTCTTCCTACGAAACCTTGGTCCCTGAGGCGGGGTGATGGCCGTGCTGGTCGGACGGGCCTTCCCTGACATGCACTGTCACCTCCACCCTGGGGTGGCCTTCCAAGCTCTACAGGAGACGGCCCATTATTTCCGCGGGGCCCTGGGCATGGTCCCAGGACCGCCACCCTGAGCGGGACACGCGGGCACAGGGGGCTCGTGACCGCCCCAGACAAACCCTCACAGCCCTA